CTGCCATTTGCAACCTCTGAGGGGGGGGGGGGGGGGGCGGGGCATGGACAATAGAAAGTGAGGCAAAAAAGGCTGACGAGGAAAATGGCTGTTTTCATATGTCAAAAGTGCTTCAGAATAGAGACCAGAAGCTGGAGGACACACTGAACGGCATGCCGAAGAGGTAGGACAACTCTACAAAACGTCTTCGTGGACATCATGGACAAGGCCAACAGAGGTCTAGGATGTGCCCGGCAACGAGGGTACGCTCCAAGACTCACCCGCGTCTCTGGCTGCAAGGCACTACGTCAGAGCTCGGTGCCTCTCCCAAAAGTAGCATCAAATTCCGCCACAAGGGTATCCCTGCCCCCCGTGACCCCGCCCCGCGCTGAAGAAATCTAAAATGATCATTTAAAGTCTCGGGGTGTAGCGACCGATCTTTACCTCTTGCCGCGGAGGCGTTGGCCAGCGCAGAAGGGTTGATGGCCTTAACAACCTTGCGTCGCTCCCGCAAGCCCTCGTCGCTGTCCCCTTCGCTGCTCTCGCCGAAGAAATCAGCAAGCTCATCCGTCGCAGTCTGCCGGCGACCCCGCCAAAAAACCCGCCCAACAGCAGTGACAGCACGAAAGGTCGACAGGGCCCAGGTAAAAGTCAGCAACATCAGTGTCGCACCCGGAATAGAGGGGGGAGGGCGTGGGGCTTCGCGGGAGAAACTACAGCAGGGAACCGGCAAGGTGTGGGCGGACATCACCCCTACCACAAAAGCAAAAAAAATGGACGGCCGAAATCCAGTCTGCCAAGCACGAATCGCGTCTACAGTCAAATCAAAGTGGACCTTAGTGAGCGGCCCATCGTAGTCCGTGGCCATTCCACCGCACCCCGCCCCTCGCGCCCTACTGCTGTACACAGGAGGTTCCCAAGAAACACGATCAAAACGGCCACAGCAACAAGCCTAGCAAGGCGTGACACGCGAAAAACCGCACCGCACGCACCACACACCTTTTTCGTCACGGGCGCGAAGTTCTTGGCATCCGTGACCCTACCCCCGTACTCCGGAGCCGCCTCCTCCCGGCCGTCCTTCTTGCTCTTGCTGCTCTTGTGGCGGTGCTTGTCCTGTTGTTCAGTGGGTTCCCAAAAAATGCCGCCGTGGAAAAGCGGAACCAACACGAAGTGGGAGGGTTGGGGCGTGGGCATCGGGGCTAGACGTCGCGCGTCAAAAATCCGTACAGCATCACGTTGAAACAAAACAGTAACAGCAGACCTATATCAGCCTTGTTGAGATTTTACCGCCTCCCGCCGACGCCAAAACTTAGTACGGGGCCGAGTAGGCCAATGCACCCCAAGGGAAGGACTTCCGAGTCCGTGGCGTTTTCTGGTTAACATTACACCCGGCGCAACTGGCGTGTTGCCGAAAAGCGTTTCTAGCGCCTAAAACAAGAAATTGCGCACTCTTTCTCTCTCCGGCCAACAGGCATGAGATAACTAAAAATCGAATTCGCCTCCACGGCATACAAAACACATTCATACCTTCTTCTTCGACTTGTCCTTGTCTTTGTGGTGCTTCGACTTCTTCTCTTTCCTGCCGCCGCCGCCGTGGCTGTCGATAGACCCACGCCGCTCCAGCGACGCGGCTTCGCCCGCCGCCGGCATGGAGGCAATCGAAGGTCGCCCCGGAGGAGCGGCGGGTGCCGATCGGCCTGGAGCGGGGAGTGTGCCAAAGGGGTAATCAGATGAAAGGAGGGGGGTGCGAGCGAGCTCATGTAAGGAGACAAACCATTCGACTTTGACGACGCTGCGGAGGCATGTAGTCAGGCCACGCACGTGCTCGAATACAAGGCATGTGAAATTCCCGCAGCAAGCGTAACATACGAGTTAACCCTGAGTCAAAGGAGAGGCAGTGGGCTCTGTATTTTAAGATATGGGGCAACATGACGACTACCGGCGACAACAAGCACCGTCAGTGACGACAGCGACAACAATAGACAAAAACCACGGCGTATATGACATACCTGCGGTAGGGTCGACGTCGGATGCCCGCAGGTGCTGCATGTAGTTGCCGTAGCTGTGCCCCCCAATGAACCCGGCGAGCTCTTGGTACTCCTTCTCCAGTCGCTCCGACGCCATCTGCGCCTGCTGCAGCAGAGACTTTCGCTTCAGCTCCAGGAAGGGCACGTTCAAGTACGTGTACAGCACCTGGGATGAAGGTGAAGAGAAGGGGGGGGATGGGGCAACAGCCGAGAGTGAGGGGAGAGAGAATGAGACGGGAAAGCCAAGTGCTCGAAGTGAGCACGGAGCTTTGACGCTATCAACCTCCTCGGCATTTTAGAGGAGTTATGCCAAGCGTGGGCGGGTCGCGGGGGGGGGCAAGGTAATACACGGGGGCCCAAAATCGTGTCCTGTAAGTGGCAAGAGTGCCTGTGCTGTTGTGATACACTTTGGTAACGAGGATGAGTAGAGGCCGCCCAGGGACAAGCAACGACACAAGACAGGACAAACAAAACACTCCCCAAGACTGGTGAAACGCTGGAAACGGAACGTCTAGACGGGTTCAAGGAGAACATATCTGTTGTTTTGCCGAGAGAGAACAACAGAATCTAACCAAAGGAAACCAAGGATCAACAGGGTCTAGATGTGTACGGAATGCTGAAAGAAGGAATAGGGTTCAAGGAGTACCTCCATGGACCAATGGATGCAGGGACAAAGCTGAAGGTCAAAATTAGTGACCGAGGACATTTGGCCTTCAAGAACGTAGACGAAGCTTTCGGAAGGTAGACGATATAAAGACGACAACTTCAAATGTGAACGCGGCTCTGAATGCGAAGACCGGGTTCATGTACTTGCGGAATGCCCGATGTAAAAGAGGTAGAGGGAAGTGTACATGACTGGGCGGGGAAAGAAGGAGGAAGATACAGGGAGATGTTTGAGGCATGGAATAGCCAGGAGAAGACGGTAGCTGCACTGGGACATAGGAAGTGGGCCGAAAAGGCGGGAGGTGATACCGATAGGATTGATAGGCCCGGAAAATATTATATAGCCACCTTTGGCAAAGTAGCAGAAAACGATTGGCCATCGGTGATCGGTGGGAACAATGGTCCGTCCTCTCGAGGACACGTGGTCAATGGTCTAACCGTTAAGGTATGCAAAACATAAGAGTACGCCCCCCCCCCCCCCCCCCCAAGACCTGTCAACCGTCAAACGTTCCAGCCAGCTGGCGCGCAAAACACAACGCCAGCAGCGCGCCACCTCCTTCGGCCTACGAATCCCGCAACCCCTCCAACAGCCGCCCCAGCTCTCCATTCCATTCCATTCCATTCCATTCGCAGGACTCTCTCTCACCCTCAGTCCGAAGCAGTTCTTCATCGAGCAGTCGAACAGACTGACCCGTCTCCCCGCCCCCCGCCCCGCCGCCTCGTCGGCCTCCTTGACGCGGTCCATCATGAGCCGCGCGGTCTCCAGCGTCACCACGTGGTCCCACGCTCCTCCTTTACCCCCACCCCCGTCAACAGCGCTACTAGCACTATCAAACCCTTCCGATGCGCCCACCGCCGCCGCCGTTGCCACCGACTCCGTCCCCGAAGATGGGCCGACGGCGGTGGAGGCGTCGCCGTCGCCGGGCGATGGATCTGCCGCTGCTTCGGCGGCCGATGCAGCTGGTGATTGCGTGGATGCCATGGCGGCGGTGGCGGCGGCGGCGGCAGATGCGGGGGTTGTCGAAGTGCCGGATTTCTGAGACGCCTTTGCCACCGCGTCTTCTTCCAGCTTGTCGCGGAAGTTGAGGAGGACGACGGTCGGGAGGTCCACCGGCGCTTCCGCTAGACCTTTCTCTACCTATATTGTTTGTGGTAGTTGCGCAAGAAACGACAATTACTAACATGGTCACGGTTCCTACAAGACATGAGCAAGACTAACACTAGTACCGAGGCATGGTGAGCGTGGGGGTCATCTCGCAGAACGGCGCGTGCCGCGAGCACTCGAGTTATTAACCTTCGGGTCTCTGGGCGCCTGTGACATTGAAACGAATCAAGAGAGTGAGGGGGGGGGGGGAGGGCGCCCCCTTGCAAATGCACTCGCCTTGTCCAGCGTCTCGGGTCGGTAAGGGTCGACCACGAATATAATGGCGCTCGCTCCCTGGTAGACGTTCACAACCCCCGCGTCCAGCACCGCCAAGGACCGCCCGCCTCCACCTGCTGGTTCGGAACGGGTCGGCGGTATGGTACGGTACGGTACGGCGAAACGGTGCCGGATTGGCCGAAAGGCACGGCGGGAAGGGCACATGGGCGCGCACAAGGGACCGACAGATAGACAGGTAGGGGGGCTTGCATGCGGTAAAAGCAAACACGGGCGCGCACCTGACCAAAAGGGCGGGAGATCAATGGTACCAACAGAGGGTTCGTGGATCTCAGGGCTCAACGCCACGCTGTGCCTCGAACCATCGAACACACAAGAAGTAGACGGCGGTATGGATGGTAGGGTTGTTTGTGAAACGCTCCCTCCACGTATTTCTGTTCATGCGCAGCGCTACCTGCTGGGGGCGTGCATTTACCTGAACCATGGTCCGGAGGCAACCCTGCCACGACGTCCTCAAGATCTTCACCTTCCGGAACTCTGCCTTTCCCGCCTTGCGCTAGTCCCTTGTCTACTACATCCCACACCTGCCAACAGAAGGGATGGAGGGAACCCGAAACATGGCGGGCATTCTTAACAAATCGCGGGTGCAAAGATGTACCTGGTATACACCACGCCAATACGTCACGCAAATTGGCGAGATCGAGTTGCTACGCGGGGCTGCTGCAACAGCCGTGGCAGCCGGTGGGACGACCAGCGCGCTCCCAGCGCAGTCTTTCATCACGGGCACGAACAAGCACACCCCTATTGTACAAGTAGCGCTTGCCACCCGGCCACCTCCTCTACCAGCACAGGCCTACAATGCGGGAAAATTCGGAGATCGGGAGCGGAGGGAAAAGGCGAAGGCGAAAGCCGGCGGCGATGACGCCCCCTGCACTATTGCGAATACTTGCAAAAACGCACCCACAGCAGTCAGTGGTTGGGTACTATGGGCAAGCGACACTACGTACGCCGGCCGTGCTCGCAGGTTCAGAAAGGAGCAGCAGCGGTGGTGGTACGCACTTCTACTTTCACCACGTCTCGGCTTCCTCGGTACACCCAGTTGTTGATCGTCGTTGTCTGAATCTCCGGCGTCGGGGTGTACTGCGCTCGTTCGAGGTTACCCGGAAGACAGAGCAGGGGGGGGGAGGGAGTACGAGAGATAAGCACGGCGGCGGCGGTGTATGGGCGCGCGCACGTGTTATTGCTGGCCAGAAGGGCAAACCAACATCTTGCGCCGGTTGCCCCCGCACATGCCGACGCTAGGATTACCACGGGGGAGTTCAGTAGTCGCTGAGGAAACACACAGGCGTGTACCAGTACAGGTTACGGAGCGCAATGGTCGGAGAGGAGAGGAACGGACTTGTATGCTGGGTACTGTACTGCTGTGGTAGTCTTTTAAGAATGTATCTACTGCTGTACCTTTTCCTCGTAGGGAAGCCCCTGCAGCCGGCGCCACAGCGTGGACTTTCCCACCCCGCGCTCCCCCCTGATGACCACCTTCATGTTGTACTGAGCGCCAGTGCCGTGCAGCTTGCGCCTGAAACGGAAGGGGTGCGCGCCGGCCCGTCATTGTTCGAGTACATGTAGACTTGTCATGCCGCACCAGAACTGCTGTCTGATAGGTAGGTTGTTCAAGATTGGCGACAGCAGTGAATTTATAGATCCATGGGATCACCAAGCAACAAGTGCGGTCGCCCCGTCTGAGCAGCGGGACTCTCAGGGGGTCGCTACCAAAAACCAAAAACACTCTCGTACATACGTACCGGACGGTGGGACGGACAGCAGCGACGGCCAAAGCAAAGAAGGAAAACAATTTTCCGGGGCAGCAGGTGATTTGCCGGTGCACTCACAGCTCAGACTGGGTCGTACTGCTGCACGGTCTACCATCCCCATCCCGAGGATAGTAAATACTGCTGTACGGCAAACTATCCCCATTCCGACGATAGCCATGCCATTTCTTTGGAGGTGTGGACGGAGGTGTCGTTCGCGTTTGGCCGGGATTGCGGAACAACCCACACGGGAGTCACGGCATCATGACGGAGGATCACAGAGGTAGTACATGCTTCAGCGTACATGTACGTCTATGTTTCCACACGAACTGACATATTCCACACGGTATCACGCGGGCTGAAACACCGCCCCCCGCATTGGCTCTCTCTTTCTCTCGCCGTCTTTGTCGATTCGGATGCTGCCGATCCAGACGAAAGTAGCACACACACCTGATGAGAGAGTCCATTTTCGAAATGTGGCTCGCGACGGCCTCGTCCTTCTTCTGCGGCGAAGTCTCCGGATCATTGCTCTGGTCACCTTTCTTTTCTTTCGGACTGGCGCCATCGCCAGCAGCTTCAGCGGCTTTCCCGCCGAACAGCTTCGCAAACATTTCCACCTCTCGTGACGCACAGCTTCAGTCACACACACTGGCAGCAAGACAAGCAACACAGCATAGCAGTGAACAGGCCAGGGAAGAGGGACGACGCAGCAGCGAACTCCGACCGCTAAATTATGCGCAGGTATGCGTGTGTCTCAGTGTCCATCCGCGGCGCCCCACGAGCTCGCTGTGTCATCATGCGAACATCATTGTGTGTTGTGTGCCGCCCCCTATCACCTGCTCCTGTCGCTGAACCCTTTCTACGACTGCTTGCGTTTGTGTGCATCATGGGTGGGGGTACGACGCTGGCGTTCGGGGCTTTACCTTCTCATGTGACCACGACGAGGGAGCTTCGGTCGGCGGGGGGAGTGTTCAGCAACATTGGGATATATCCGAGCAGCAGCAGATCAAATCAGCAGCTGCCGGAAACATGTCGCTATGCTGTCTCGGAGATGGTGGGGGCCTCGGAGGAGACCGGAGGCGTGTTCGACCCTCTCGGTCTTGCGACTGACGAGGTGAGGAGGGGGCGAAGGTGCTTGCTGTTTGTTCTTGATATCCCGCCGTGGGCAACACAGAGGCTACCCGACTGACGCGAACTTCAACGACGTTTCCGAAGGACGCTGCACTGCTGCCTTGCCTGTGCCAAGCAAGGACCACACGGCCACAGCGGCCATGGGAGATCTCCCTGTTGAAATGTGTGGGCGTGTGTGTCACTCGGTTCCCGCAGCTAGTGTGAGTGATCCCCCCCCCCGCTCTCTTTCCCGACCCAAACATCTCACACAACACATTGCGCCGCGTCCCCCTGGTGGGTGTGCCCGCTCCCGTGGCTCCGTGTGCCTATTGCGATTTGAAATTCAATGAAAGACTTCCCTTTACCGGCGGCGCGTGGCGGAGCTAAAGCACGGGAGGGTCTGCATGCTTGCTACCGTGGGCGTGCTAGTGCAGTCGTTCGTCCAGTTTCCCGACCCGGATCGATCTGCCTTTTCAAACACCAGGCCGCTCGGGGCGCTATTTCAGGTGTTGTACGCAGACAGATGTACGGGACATGCCCGTTTTGCTTCTGTACAGCAGTGTAGGTGTGCTTCTTCAGCCATTGTCGACCGCGCTAACCGGCTGTCCAATGAAATAGAGTCGTGGTCTCGGGTTTAGCGGTCCATAGTGTCACAAAATGTTATAACCGCTATTGAAGGCATCGCCGCTAAACCGGATTGGCAAATATGTTTGTAGTTTGACAACCGAGGTGCAGCTGTGCCACGAGATGTAGGGGACCGCTGTTGAGAGGGCATCTCGCTCAACAGGGAACCGCTAACCCAGGACCGCGACTGTACGCCAGTCTTCAAGAAGTAACGAGTCTGGAGAGAAACAGAGCGAGATCAAGTGAAAAAAGTCTCCGAATCATATTCTTGAACGATGCCTGTAGCTGAAGGAAGTCCGCCTCGTCGTTAACATTCTCCTGTGTTGTGTGCCTCCTGGACCGAGATGATCTACAATAACGTTGCTTCAATAAGTCGGTTTGTCCCTTCACCGAAACCACCGTATGTCGAGAGAGCAACCGTACGGAAGTTGGAGCTAGACGGGTCAAAAGCACCCGCATAGCTCCCTTGGTGATTTCTCTATTAACGAGGGCAGTGTAGAAGTTTCTGTATTTTTTCGCATCGATCGTTTGTTTGTGTGTGTGTGTTTGTATTTCGTCCCATCCATGCCGGGCGCCAGTCTACGCCTTTCGGTGTGTAGCCGCTGATTTGCGTTATCCTGCACATGTACTACACGTACTAATTTTACCTGTTCCTGTTTACACCTTGTTGTGCTGCTTCGACTGGACGCATCGACGAAAACAGGTGTGGAGGGAACGACCTGTGATCCTGTTGGGGATTGTGGCCTTGATGGGATTGATAGAGCTCACCATCGGGAGGGAGGACTACGGGAGCAGCGAGGCCGAGCCCGGGAAGCTGGGGGATTTTTGGCAAGCAGCGCGGCCTGAAGACCCGCAGGTATTTGGCGGGGTACATTGCACGGTTTGCCACGCTATGGTGAATTTGAACAGCCAGTTTTGTCTTTTGCTTGGCAAGCTCTTGAGTGTTTCGATGAAGGCAAATATTTTGTCGTGGAGACTGGCCTTTGTCCTACGCCGCCGTTCTGTTTGCCTCGGACGGTGTGCCTGTGAGATGGCGAGCGGCTTGTTCGTGGTTCTGCCTGAGTCTACTCTTTGCGTTGGGCCACTTGTTGCGTGCGAATGTCCTGTGCGTCCATGCGTCTGTTTTTGGTGCGTCCCGTCACAGCTTTGGAGGAGAAGGCAACTCCAGGAGTTGAAGCACGGAAGACTCGCATCTCTCGGAATCACGGGTGAGTTGCGGTCGCGGCTGATGTGTACCTTGGTGCCACAATAGTATACCACCCAATGCCACACAAAATAGCCTTGCGCCGTGTGGTGGCAAAAGGACGCGACAGCACGCGTGACCTTGGGGATGGTACACTGGACGGGTGCACCTCTCTGGTATTGGTGGTCCGCTGAGTGAGCGCGGCACGCAGCAGCCCTCTGATATGTGCGGCTTCCATTGATCCCCATGTATTGACGTTTGCTCGCTCGTAGATTCCACGTATACCGCAAGGTTTTGGCTTCTCTGAGGAACAGTGACGTATGGTCTGGAGTCCCAGAAGTTTCCTCTGCGGTGCATGCCTATAATTTTTTCGTGATGCGGGTTTAGCAATCCTTTTTTTGAGTTCTGACGAATAAGTGGCTCGAAAAGTCGGGATTTGAAGCCGCGACTTTGATGGCTTTCCGAAGGATTTAAGGGTACCTCCACGCCTCGGTGGAATACCTGCAGCCGCGGAATTGGTTGTTTGCCGAAGTACGTGTTTAACTTTGGGCTCTGTGGGAGTTGGGCGATATTGATTTCTCGAGCGCGTTATCACGCCGTTTTTGGTTTCCCGTTCGACCAGCAGCAGCTTTAGCCGTCTGCTCCGTCTTTCGGACAACGCACCCTCAGTGGAGACACGTCTTTCCCGCTGAAGATTGCCCGTCGTACACACGTCTGCGTCTTTGTCGGCGTTTCAGGTATGCTGGCTCAAGAGCTCGTGACGCACGAGGGGCCGGTGGAACAGCTTCTAAAGGGGGACATCAACCCTTTCCATGAGTACTGATGTTGTGAAGACACCTTCTCCGATCGGAGGGGGGCGCACCGATTATGTACAAGAATACTACGGGTCTGGCTGGAACGACTCATAGACCCAAACCCGTGTCACGTTGGATTCCGATGATACCGCGTAAAGCACTGGACCGAGCGGTGCCGCTCTCTGCCCCTGCTGTCTAGTTTATAGAGCTGTCAGGTCGAGGCGCTCGTCGCACGGGAGGGGGGGGGGGGAGGGGCGAGGCAAGCAGGGACCCATGTCCATAGGGTGTGTTGTGGAGAGATGAAGGTCGGAATGGCGTGGGCATTAGGCGTTTCGTTGGAGCACTCGAGAGAGGGATCATCCTTAGTAGTTGAAGCGTGTTTTTGTGCTGAGGGGGGGAGACGATGCTGATGTAGATATTATTGTTGCTGAGGGGGCCTCACATCAGGACGGGTGTTATTGACATGCCCGAAAGAGACGTGTTGTGGATACCCTGTTTATTTAGTGATTTGGTCTTTGTAACCTTCACCCAACAAATGGACTGGGCTGTTCTTGTTGATACTCGTCACGGCGTGCGATCTTTTCGTGTTCTCCGTTTCGTCCTGTCCTGAATCGGGACACAATTGGCCGCAGGAGCAGAGCATTCAGTGGCAAGTCTTCTTAAGCAGCAGATGTAACAGCAACTACACGTTGATGAGGCGAGTGTTAATGGGGTGAAAGCGGTGGAAGTAGGCCCGCCCTCTTCGTGCGGTTGTCGCAGGTGATTACGGGACTGGAGACTCCTAGTGTACCCTGTAAGTATCCATTTCATGTCATTCGTGGTACATTCGTGTAGCGGGTGTAACGACACGTGATAGACGGGAGGTCGTGGGGCTTGTTTCAACGACGAGAAAGAGACATGCAGCATGTGCAGGTGACGTATTTTCTATCCTTGAGTTGTTGGGGGAACGTGTTCACAAGCCGGTTTTGTTGTCGTCCGAGGGTAGATGAGTAGGTAGAGGGTCTCACGAACGTGCAGCCGGCAGTGTATCCTGGGTCGAATGTTACGTATGAGCCGGGTATGCTACGACAACGAACCATTGATGTTGGAGGCGATCAGAGGACGACGAGCGGTCATGTTTTGGTTACTTTGCGAGTTTTTTCGGGTCGTGCAAGTGACCGGTGCTTGGTCAAGATGTAACTCATCAACAGCATTTGGCATCAATTCTCGAAGAGATTCTCACTATCTTTTGATATACTATTTTTGTAGTTTAAGGTGGTATCGTTGTGATGATGCGGGACGGTGCGCATCGACGACGGCTTTGTCACGAAAGAAACGGTAAGACAAAAGACGGAGAACCATTGCCTGGTCCTCGATCTGACGCAAAGAGCACAGACGAGGTGAAGATTGGTGCTTGGTCAAGAGAGTAACTTATCAGCAGCAGCCAACAAGCCCTTTTTATTCCATGTGGGCGTCGGCACTAAACTGGTAGCAGGCTCTTGAGAAAGAGCTCGTCGTGAAGGTAGCATGTTCGCCAGCCTCGCGGGGTTCCACGTCGCGCGCACGTGAACGTGTAACCGCTAAATCCTGTGTCCTAGTCATGGATTTGGTGTACAGGTCAGGGTTGACTGCCGTCACACAGTTCACGCAATGGAATTCGCGAACATTTTCGCGGTGTGCCCGCTGCGATTTCTCTCTTGTCAGGTTTTTCTTTGCCACGGTTGCCTGCTTAAGAATACCGTTCGTTGTTGTGCCAAACCCGAGGGGCGTTTGGCGGCGCAAGCACAAGGTATTATTCGTCGAGGCACAGCAAAACACACTTCCTGTGCGAACACCACCACACCATAGGCCAACATGGGCTTTTCCCTGGACAAACAACGCTATTTAGTTTTACTCAAGATCGTGATTCATCTCCATGCAGCATTCTCCCGCGTACCTGAAACCCCAACATGCCGGCAAACCCTTGCGAACAATGGCAGCAATCATGTTTGTCTACAATCTAATTTGGCGTCAACACTCGCGCCGCAGGAAACCTCCTCGAACGGATGAAACAGTATAACAACACAGTACAACAACACGTCGTTCCTCCTCTACACGTTGGCGAACATTTTCATTGTGGACACTACCCTGTGAAGCTTCGTCTACCTTATTGCTACGATTGGGCTCTTAACATTGTCAACAAAGCGGCCTCCAAAGCAGCAACATGCTGCGGGACAGAACGCCCCGAGTATTTCCTCCTCGCCCTCCACGCACCACCTCGGATATAGAGGAAGCCTCGCGTCGTTTTCAACCTGCGTCGACAGCTCCCTCAGGTTCTACTCCTGCCGTCGCTGCCGCCGCTGCCACCGCTGCTGCCGCTATCGCGACCGCCGCTGCTGGCATGGACCACGTACTTTGCCGCGTCGATGGATTGTAGAAATAGCTGGACCCCGAGTCCGGATCGACTACCTCTTGCCACTCGTCTCCCTCCTCGGCAGCCCCTCCAGCCTCGTGGTCGTATGCCTGCAGACCCTCCTCGTTCACCGATGGGTCTGTCGTTGCTGCGACCGCCTCTGCCATATCTGCGTCTTTTCCCGATTCGCCGACGCCTTCCTCGCTACGGTAGTCATCACCCGTCGGCCCGTCCTGCAAAAGCTGGCCTTCTCCAGTTCCTGCCGTTTCAACCGTGACATCGACTGCGGCTGATCCGGCCCGCGAAGTCCCGCCTTCTCCGTCGTTGTCGTACAGCACCAACGTTTCTCTCCCATTTTGCGCAGTATGACCTTCCTCGCCGGCGTCCCCAACGGTGGTGGAAGGCAAGTCCCAGGAGGTAACCCCCGTCTCTGGGTGAAAATAGTACGCAGCTCCAGTTTCTTCATCTAGGTGCCGCTCCCAGCCTTCCGCAATATCTTCCCCGGTCGACGGATGTTCCGCAACCGCGTCACCATGTTCTTTGTGATGGGCCGCGGATGGATCCGCCCCCTGTTGCTCGACGGTGCCCTCTTCGCGACTTGAACGTGGTGGAGAGGTCTCAGCTGTTCCTATCTCTGCGGTGCGCCCGTCTGTAGCTTCAGGGCCCGGGACGGCGGAAAAGGCATTGTCGGCCACATTCTGGGTTTGGTCGCCGTTGGTCGTCGGTGGTCGGTCCGGTACCGTTGTTGTAGATGCTGCGGGATCGCCACGTGCTGGCACGAGTGGCGTATGGAGGCGAACATCCTCACTTGGTTGCATTTCGTTGTCGTCGTCGCCTGAGGAAGAAACGGCGGGATTATCGCCTGATGAAAGAACCTGCACGGTCGTGTTGTTTTCTTTATCCTCCCCGTGGTGGAGCTTGTCGATGCCGCTCGAGGCAACGTCTTCGTCGTGCAACGAAACTTCGCCCGGTCCTTCTTGCGTGTCGATGACACCATCGTGCTGTGATTTTTCTGTACCCGATCCCGTGGCTGTGGAAGACTCTCTGCCCTCTGATGAACTCGATAACTTCCGGCTCATTCCACGTTGTTCATTTCCCACCGCCGACGCCGGAGGTTCGCTACCACCCAAGACGTGTCTTGCGGCACTGAGTGCCCCGATTACTTCCTGGGTATCATGTTTTGCCTCCTCCACTCCGTCGCGCTGACCCTCAATGCTTGTTTCTTCTCTGCTCTGAACGGAATATCCATCATCACTATCTATCGGTGGTATATTTCTTTCAGATAGTTCAGGACTTGGTGTCATTCCCGGTACCGGTTGCAGCTCTGGAGGGAGTGGGGTTGACGCAATGCCTAGCCCAACGCCCGACGCTCGCCTTGCCGCCGCCATCATCTTGGCAAATTTCAACGATACCGGCTCAGACTCCTGCTCCAGCTGGCGCTTGATGTCGGCGTTTCTCTGTCTCCTCAATGCGGACTTTTTAATGATTGCCTGGCGGAATCTCACGGCGCGTTGTATGCACTCAGCTGCATTTCGCCGGGCCTCCGCTTCCCGCTCCATATCCGCCTCGTATAACTCTCGCTGCCTCTCGACCTCTCTCTGCTGCTTCAACACAGATACCCGTGACACGGCTTGTCTGCACCTGATCACCCGTTGAATACACGAGGCGGCCTGTTCTCGCATCTCCGCTTGCATAGCCATCCTCGCTTCTTGGTCATGCTGGATCTCGATGTCCCTCTGCTGCCTCAAGGCGTTGACATGTTTCACGGCGTGGTGGCCCCTTGCCGCTCGCTGGATACTGACGGCGGCCTCTTGCTCGGCCTCACGCTGCCGTTCGAAGGCCAGCTCCTGAGCCCGCTGGTGTTCGATCTCGCGTTCTTGTCTCAAAGCGCTGACTCGCCGGCGGGCTTGATTTCTCCTGGCCATGCATTGGATGGACTGCACGGCCTGACGTTGTTCCTCCTCCCGCAACTTGAGCTGGCTCTCCGCGTCTCTCTGCTGCTTCAACACAGATACCCGTGCCAAAGCTTGTCTGCACCTGATCACCCGTTGAATACACGAGGCGGACTGTTCTCGCATCTCCGCTTGCATAGCCATCCTCGCTTCTTGGTCATGCTGGATCTCGGTGTCCCTCTGCTGTCTCAAGGCGTTGACGTGTTTCACGGCGTGGTGGCCCCTTGCCGCTCGCTGGATACTGACGGCGGCCTCTTGCTCGGCCTCACGCTGCCGTTCGAAGGCCAGCTCCTGAGCCCGCTGGTGTTCGATCTCGCGTTCTTGTCTCAAAGCGCTGACTCGCCGGCGGGCTTGATTTCTCCTGGCCATGCATTGGATGGACTGCACGGCCTGACGTTGTTCCTCCTCCCGCAACTTGAGCTGGCTCTCCGCGTCTCTCTGCTGCTTCAACACAGAAACCCGTGCCAAGGCTTGTCTGCACCTGATCACCCGTTGAATACACGAGGCGGACTGTTCTCGCATCTCCGCTTGCATGGCCACCCTTGCTTCTTGGTCATGCTGGATCTCGGTGTCCCTCTGCTGTCTCAAGGCGTTGACGTGTTTCACGGCGTGGTGGCCCCTTGCCGCTCGCTGGATACTGACGGCGGCCTCTTGCTCGGCCTCACGCTGCCGTTCGAAGGCCAGCTCCTGAGCCCGCTGGTGTTCGATCTCGCGTTCTTGTCTCAAAGCGCTGACTCGCCGGCGGGCTTGATTTCTCCTGGCCATGCATTGGATGGACTGCACGGCCTGACGTTGTTCCTCCTCCCGCAACTTGAGCTGGCTCTCCGCGTCTCTCTGCTGCTTCAACACAGAAACCCGTGCCAAAGCTTGTCTGCACCTGATCACCCGTTGAATACACGAGGCAGCCTGTTCTCGCATCTCCGCTTGCATAGCCATCCTTGCTTCTTGGTGACGTTGGATCTCGGTGTCCCTCTGCTGTCTCAAGGCGTTGACATGTTTCACGGCGTGGTGTCCCCTTGCCGCTCGCTGGATACTGACGGCGGCCTCTTGCTCGGCCTCACGCTGCCGTTCGAAGGCCAGCTCCTGAGCCCGCTGGTGTTCGATCTCGCGTTCTTGTCTCAAAGCGCTGACTCGCCGGCGGGCTTGATTTCTCCTGGCCATGCATTGGATGGACTGCACGGCCTGACGTTGTTCCTCCTCCCGCAACTTGAGCTGGCTCTCCGCGTCTCTCTGCTGCTTCAACACAGAAACCCGTGCCAAGGCTTGTCTGCACCTGGCCATCCGTTGAATACACGAGGCGGCCTGTTCTCGCATCTCCGCTTGCATAGCCATCCTTGCTTCTTGGTCATGTTGGATCTCGATGTCCCTCTGCTGCCTCAAGGCGTTGACATGTTTCACGGCGTGGTGGCCCCTTGCCGCTCGCTGGATACTGACGGCGGCCTCTTGCTCGGCCTCACGCTGCCGTTCGAAGGCCAGCTCCTGAGCCCGCTGGTGTTCGATCTCGCGTTCTTGTCTCAAAGCGCTGACTCGCCGGCGGGCTTGATTTCTCCTGGCCATGCATTGGATGGACTGCACGGCCTGACGTTGTTCCTCCTCCCGCAACTTGAGCTGGCTCTCCGCGTCTCTCTGCTGCTTCAACACAGAAACCCGTGCCAAGGCTTGTCTGCACCTGATCACCCGTTGAATACACGAGGCGGCCTGTTCTCGCATCTCCGCTTGCATAGCCATCCTCGCTTCTTGGTGACGTTGGATCTCGGTGTCCCTCTGCTGCCTCAAGGCGTTGACGTGTTTCACGGCGTGGTGTCCCCTTGCTGCTCGCTGGATACTGACGGCGGCCTCTTGCTCGGCCTCACGCTGCCGTTCGAAGGCCAGCTCCTGAGCCCGCTGGTGTTCGATCTCGCGTTCTTGTCTCAAAGCGCTGACTCGCCGGCGGGCTTGATTTCTCCTGGCCATGCATTGGATGGACTGCACGGCCTGACGTTGTTCCTCCTCCCGCAACTTGAGCTGGCTCTCCGCGTCTCTCTGCTGCTTCAAGGCACCGACAAGATCCCTCGCTTGGCGCATCCTCACGGCTCGCTGTATGCGCACAGCAGCCTTCCCCCGGGCGATTTCCCCTGCCTCCGCTTCTATCTCCAACTTGCGTTTCGCCCTCAAGTACGCAACCCGGCGGACAGCTATTGTTCTTCTCACCACAAGTTGAATGGCGATTGCGGCCTGAGTCTTGCGCTCGATCAACGTTCTTGCTTGCCGTGCCAGGCACCAACCTCGAAACGCTTGCTGGATACGGGTCGCCGCTTCTTCGTATTTCCTGGACGCTGTCAATTCCTGGGTTATACGGGAGGTGCAGCCTGAAGCGACGACTGCAGGTGATGCGTGGGATGACGGGTTGTTTCTGCGACGGACTATTCGCTTACGACAGAGCCTTTGGATACGCCGAGCCGCCGCTCGTTGCTCTTCGGCGGCCGCTAGCATTTCTGCTTTTCGGAGAGACTCGGCCTCGATTTCTTGCAGGCCAGACGCTGATATCTCGTCATGGGTGTGATTCCCGTCGGATGCTCGGCGGCTGACGGCGGCAATGGCCTCCGGGTTTGTGCCGCCCTCCAGTTCGGTTTCCCCGGACAGCGGTGAGTGAGAGGCGTCTCTGATTCCATCGGACTTCGTATGTTGCTGATCGTAAGCGTTGAGAATAAGAGCAGAGGCGATCATCGCCTCCGCACTCGGTTCTCTCGATGCGCTCCAAGAACCGTCACCTGTCTCCCCCTCTTCTGCGTTGGTCAGACCCTGCCCGCGAACGTTTGGTGCGGATCGCCCCTTCTCTTCCATCACAATCGCGACACAAAGCTCCAGACCTTGCTTCAGCACTTCTTTCACGGCTACCCTTGCCACCGTCTTTAGCAGCCTCAGCCTGGCGCGTTTTCGGCGAACGTGTGACTGCGCACTGCGGCTCCTCGCCATGCTCTGTAGCTTGACTGCTGCTCGGCTTCGCTTTCGCGACCCTGCCAAGCGTTGTTCGTGGCTCCTCTTCCGGCGTCGAGCGAAACTTTGGATCTGTAGAGCGGCATCGTCCTTCTCCTTCTCACGTTTCGCCCTAAGCTGCTTCTGCGCCTTCCGCCTCCTGACCTCCGCCTTTGCTTCCCGAATGCCGGAGATCCCCTGAAGAGTCGTGGCCGCGCGGTGTTTTCGCCGACGAGACTTCACGGACAGTCGGCGCCTGGCAAAGCCTTGAAGAACGCAGGCAGCCCCCTCGCTCCGTTTCACTTGGGTTTCACGAAGGCCCGCTTCTTCGCTTCGCCGCCTTTGCACGTCGTTTGTCGCAATTCTGCGCCGGGCGGTGCTCTGGATCCTCACGATGGCGTTGCTCCTCTCCTGTTCCATCATCATCAGCTCACGCTCTCGGGCCTTGCGGACCTTGCTCACCTGCATTCGCTGTCGAGCGAACGCCTGGACTCGTTTCGCGGCCGTTCGTTCTTTGACCCGCCTCTTGGAGGCCTTTTTAGCGGCTCGTCGGCGAGTGTGCGACTGCAAAATGACCGCGGCTTCTTCTTCGGTGAGAATATCTTCGTCCTGAGGGCGCGGTGCTTCTTCCGCCGCTTGCGTCTCTTGTCGATTGCTTGAATCAACTTCTGACTCTCGTTGGCCAATCGTAGAAGCCGGCGGTTCGCTCTGGGTTTGGCTTGCAAGAACCGGCGTGTCATCACCACCTTCGGGTTGCCCTGCACCGTCGGCAAGCTCGTGTTGCTGACGGACAAGCTGGCAAACCTGATTCCAGCCCAAATTGAAACAAATTTCAAACGCCACCGTGAGTTGGGGAGGCTCGTTGCGAGGGATATGGCAGGGCTCACTTGAATTGACTGCTATTATAGATCAATGGAAATGAAAGCCATTTCTCCGGCTGTTTAAGAGCATTATCTACTCCAGCTGTTAGCCTTGAAAGCATTCTCTTTGATCCTCTCGTCCCACGGATATGCAATGGACCCTCCGGTAGCTATAGTCTGCTTCGTGAAGATATTTCACAACATCATCTTTCTTGATACCCCTTTGACTAGCGTTGTATCATTGACCAAACCAATACTCTAGCGGTTACTCTGTGGTCCTCAAGCACCGATGGATAGGATGGTGGCATCATTCTTGTGGCTTGTGAAACCCTCAAAGTTGCACCTCTTCAATGGCCTCGATGTGCCTGGCAGTTTCTTGAAGAAGTACCAGCGAGGATTGACGGCGCTCCGCTCCATCAGTAGGTGCCCCCGCCCGCGTCTGATCTGCCGTCACGGCCACCCCAGGGGCTGCAATGGCCAACGGGATCTGTTCCTCCTCCGTTGTTTCTAACTTCCTTTGAGCTTCATCTTGCATCGCATATCCTGGCAGTTGTGCATCCTCTACCCCGTTTGCCACTTCTTCCCCTTCGTCTTGCCTAAAGTTCAAGTTCAGGGTGCACACGCCGGCGTCTTTGCCACCGGGTTCGGCGAACAAGCGGACTTCAACAGCCAAGCTGCTGCCACCATTAGCGGACGCTGAATCCCCCGCAACGTTGTTATCGGCGCAAGCACGGCCGCGTCCAACGCTTTTCGAACGCAAACGGCATATCAACCGCATCGTGACATCGCCAGGTATGGTACCACTGGCAACGAGATCCTGAGAGCCGACGTTGCCGCAGCACAGCTCGATCAAGACCCCGTCGGAAGTGAGGGCTTGGTCTGTCACGCTGAACGAGAGGACGGCATCGTCCCAGCTAGCTTCCGCTCCTGTTTTCGTTCACGACAAGCCGGTGGGTGCGTGCGCTTGAATCGTAGACAGCAACGACAATTGCACAGCGGGGTTTTTGTCGGGAATGCGACTTTTGGGAGAGGATGGGACAAAAAACACCAAGTCACTCCTGGTAAGGAGTCTTAAAGGAGGGCAGTGCGTACAGTATTGCTTTCTCACCTGTACCCATCACCACATTGGTCCGTCGCAGCTGATCGCAAGCTTTGACCTGCAAGAACGGGTCGTTGTTGCCAATCGCAAGCTTCATCCCCCCCGCCCTTACCCCGGACATCTGAAGCGTCCCTTTCAGCCCTGGCGTATTGCCACCCCTTGCAGCAGCCGATGCATCGGGAAACCGGACGAAATCAACCAAGCTGCCTCCGCCAGGTGGCATGTCTGAATCCTCCACCTGATGCGGTCGGCTGACGATCTCGCCTCTCGCCGAAGGGTGGCCATCTCCGTCTACACCTGCGGAGTCATCCCGTCCATTGAGCTGCAATGGCTCCGACATCTCCACTAGCGCCGACGGTGACACTTCTCTTTCCCCGTCGCCCATGTTCGCAGTAGACGGGCGTGTGTTGTTCCCCGCCACACGCGGCGTCGTGGTGCAGTCTGGACCAATCGGCGCTGAGCCCACGGTGGACGGAACGGCGTCTTCGTAAGGTGTGCAAGCCGTGCTCGTCGAAGACGAATCGACGACCTCGTTTGTCGGAGCAGTCGGGGGGACGTCGTGTAAAGCGTTGGTTTTTCCCTTAGTGTGGGAGGTAGAGACAGCTTCCATCGGCTTTTGAAGCTCCAGAGCTGGGATGGCCTTTTCAGGGCGGCGATCATGCTCCTGTTGCGATGTCGAGTTTGTCCTAATAACTCCGTCTGTTACCGACGCATCGACCACGGTGCTCCTGCGGCGCTTCTCGCGCCCCCTACTGCTGGTGCTGTCTCTTGTCCCTTTCCGTCTCGCAATCTCCTTCAGCAAACGTAGCCTGTGAGGCCTGTGGTAATGGGGTCAAGCACATGCGACATTAGTCAGAGGCTGCCGCACATGTGAGTTGGCATATGAACAAAGAGTCTACAGTAGCACACATAGACAACAAGTAGCCCTGCTCTAGACGCCACAAATTTAGACGTAACGACCTGCTTGTACCATGAAAGTCTTCGGCGGACCTTCACCATACACTCACACACAGGCGATTCTGACACACAGTGCTTCAAGGCAGATACGACGTTTGATACGTTCCGATTCACACCTAAAGCTGACACCAATCTGGACGAGGTCTTCTTCTGTACACGAAGCAAGATCTGAGCCCGTGACCGCAAAGGCGCGAAACCTGTGGGCGTAGCGCCCCATTCCAAGGTTTCCGATTAGACGGACCACCGCCCCTCGCCCCAGGTCTTCAATCTTCTCATCTGGGGAAGAGAAGAACAAGTTCACGACAAGGGTGAGGCACCCGGAGTTGCAATGGGTGTTGTCCAGATGTGATTGCTATCGACCGAAATGTGTCGTTCTTCCTCAGCAGTCTGCCTAGCACGCCAAGGGGCGTTGCATGTGTGTACGAACCACTGCGGACTGCGGTAGGCGCAACTCTGGGGCACACGAAAGTGGGAAAAAACGTCCAGCAAGTAGATAAAGAGCGATTTCACAGCCTGGTGTATTGTCGTGCCGCCGGCCGCAGCTGAGACTCTTGAACTATGTATCGCCGCTTGCGCTACCGGGGTCCCCAGACAACAGTTGTTCAGCACGACGAGGAAAGCTCGGGGCTGGAGTCGAAAATCGTATGACACGTGTGGTTACAGCAACCCCGGTGTGACATTCGAAGACACCAAACACCGATCGGCTTAACCAGGCTGGCGTTGTTGGCCTTACCAGACCAGAATAGCTCATAGGCTTCGCTTTGCTCGACGTTTCTTTGGCGTTCTCCGCTCCTCGGCGGCGGTGTACCATCGGCCATTCGCCCGGAGTGAGAGGTTGCAGAATACCCACGTGCGGCATCTCCCTTGCATCGACCGGCCTTCCTGCAGGCCGTGAGCAGGTCGTGAGTTTCTCTTTCCAGCCGGGTAACCCGCGGAGGGAGCCAGGCCGAAGCATTCAGCGGCCTCGACGACGAGCGCGCACGAGACGCAACGACCATCTGAGACCGGGAGCCGCGGTGAAGCGTCGGCGCGCTGTCCGGTCGACCTGGGGTGGTACGGAAGGAAAGAAATAAGCTTCTTCGGTTGCCGGGTATAGGCCTGTACAATAGCCCTACTCTCAACACACGTGATAGATGACTTGAATCGAGCCACACACAATAGAGAAACAGACATGAAACAGAGAGAGTTCACTCTACTATACCGATGGTGTCTGGGCGTGTTTAGTGAGTAGTATTTTAGCCATCGCAGCTTTCATTGAGAGGGCCCTGACGCAAACAAAGCTTCGCCTATGTCGTGTCGGTCTGCCAATTCTTGCCGAGGTTGTGATACGTGAGCTTTGGTAGTGCAAAGATAACTCTTGGCATAAACTCCTCACAGCGAGTGTTCAGTTCTTTTCCACCACGTCTACTGTGTTGTGTGTGTCTGTGTGGGTAATTTCCTTCCACGACATGGCGTGACGTCAGCACAGATCGTCACACCGACATGCTTGATGTGACGGCCAGGTGTAGATCAAATGACCTCATAACGATATGACAGCCTTTCGTGCCCACTTTGGTCACGGAGATACCACTGTGTGTATGTTGCGGGTGTTCTGCACTCAGATTTTCATACGACGATGGGAACAGTGAGTTACATAGTGGTGAACCTTACCGCTGCCAACTAAAGCGCCCGGCCGCACTACTGACAGAGAGTTCACCGAGCACTCCGTGTACCGTTGTTGGTGCGCTGAATCACACAGAAATGCAGCTCCAAGTGCCGACGTAAGAGGGTGGTGAGGGGTGGACAACTTTGGGAACACAGCAGAGAGTGCTCTCCGCTGTCGTGGGCTTGCCGGGCTCGACTCTCCACCCTGCCACAAAGTGATGCGTCGCCTGGAGCATGTGTTGATGCTCATGTTACCCTCGGCAGGGGGCAAGGACGCTGGGACCAACAAAAATGTTGTGCAAGGCTTCTCTACCTACCATATCTTAAGCTTCTTACCTCCTGCAGGCCCTAAATTTTTCTCTTCGCGACTATCCCCGTGATGACAGCGATGTCGAGACGACGTGGGTCCTGGACCTCTCGCGGCATGTGTCCGATCCCTGACATCAACCCATGCCTTTGACGGTGCGCGCGTGAACACCGGCGCAGATTTTGGCCTCGACCCAGCGGCTCGTGCATACTCTATTCCTCGTGGCTTGGGCGCAACGGTTGTGCGGTTGTTAGTCACGGTCGTCGGACGGTTAGACCACCCGAAGAAGTATTTGGGGATGTAAACACAAATCCGCGCATTTGGTGCTTTAAGTCCCTCTTTTGTCGGAAACCTGCCGGACTCGCGCCGTCAATACCTCTGCCAAATTCTTCAGAACCCCAGCTTGCTTGAGACACCAACCTAATAAAAGTAGTAGAATATACACCATCATGAATGATCGACTCCCCAAGCCTACTGTGATCATCACGGCTAGAGTGCTTTGAAGGCTAAGGCTAGCGTGCGAAATAGTAGCCGCATCGTCATACACGCCTGTTCCTACATAGCCCACACCTGGCTCAATCCATGTACGGTGCCGCTCGAAGGGCGACGGCGCCGTGGTCGTGCGTGCTCGTCCTCTTTCTCCATTTCCTTAATGAAAGTTGGTGGACGAACAACCGGCCTGGAGTCCAGCTCGACAAAGCCAGGAAGATTTGACTGAAGATCTCTATCGGCATAATTTTTTCTTCGACTTGCCTGATGTACGCGAGATTGGGAGTGTGGTAGTCGAAGACCTTCAAAACTCTCTTGGGTGAATAATTGTCTACGGTGCTTTGTTCCTCGCACCAGTTGGGTCGGTACGGATGTTAGAAGGTACTGAGCAGCGAGGACAAACAACAGCAACAACAACAACAACAACCACTTCTAAATATAATCCTGATTAACCCAATGGCATCACAACATACCTGGCAAGCCGTACACATCGCGCACACCTCAGCTACAACTATTGTGTATGGGGATTCATATATAGTTCGGATGTGGCAAGTACTGTACAGGTGTTCCGCGGAGGACCACTGCGTGTGGAATACTTCATTCGAATAGTTTGCCGCGCTTTTGCATACGATGGGGGGTACAAGCAGCGCAGCGAATACACTTTCACTCTTCAGCATTGTGCCTCCAGCTCCCCAGTTCCAGTCTGAAAAGAACCTGAAGCTATGCATATACCAAACAACCCACCTTCATTCGGCGCGCCCAAACTCTGTTCAGTCTCCTCATGTAATGGTCGTAAACAGCATTTTCGTCTAGTATGACAACCCTGGGAATGTCAGCAGCAGGCAAGGCACAGGGAGGTGTGGCTTCGCAGTTCTGCAGGCGAGTCATGGCCTCGTGACCTCGTGGTAATTGCTCAGGCATGACCTCCTCCTGACCACCAGGTCTTGATCGCTCTTCTGCCACAGCTCCTGGAGCTCCGATATTCGCCATGGAGCCTCGCTTCCCCCCGTCAAACAATGCACACACAGCGCCAAGACTCTCCCACCGCCCTCAGCTTTGTTCACCCGCACAACAGCGCACCGTCACTCTTTGACATCCTTTCTAGCCTATTTTCACTCAGGCCATGCGCACAGCAAGCCTTTCTTTGGCCGCAGACGCAGAGCGCCGCGCGTGGACACCCATACAGCCGGAGATTTCCATAACCTGGGCGACGTGTGTATTGTAGACGATGGGTATTGGTACGTTCATGCCGACAAATAATTTGTTCCTGCGCGATTGTTGTACAAGTGTTCGTTGTCCAGCCATGGTCTTATCCTTCTTATGTTATCACGTCAGCTCAGCATATTCTTTCCAATCGGCACAACCTCGTCGTGCATGACATGTGAAGCTGTTCTTCGGTTACATCCCAAACGTCACATCGAAGCATCCGCAACTCCCAAGTTGAACTCCCGGAACTCCGTAAAAAAAAAAAGTGGGGTGGAAATGTTGGACATCAGAGCATCAGAGTGCTCTCGCACCGCTACGCACAGGCCTTCGGGAACGGGAGCCTTCCGCGGCAAAGCGGCGCATTGGGTGTGCTCGTTTCTGCCTTGGAAAGCTTAGATTGGGTGGTAACCTTCTGCGCGTGCATCTCTCTGAGTGCGAAGTCGAAGATAATGAGTGAGTTCCTCGAGGTGGAGCCCTCGACATCGACCGGCTATGCCCTGTCACTGTTGATGCTGGGGCTTGGGTTGGGTGTCCTGACGGTTCGCATGGAACACCAACAGAGGATGGAGCAGCTAGTTGAGGTGACCAAGGACTTCAAGACCTTCCAGGCGTCCTTCATGGGTGAGCATGAGCACCTACGAGATTTTAGGCGGGAAGTCTCTAAATTGTGTTCATATGCAACGCGCAACGCCCAAGAACAAATCCCTATCGTTCAATTTTCGAATCAATATAATATGTAGGAGGAGGGAGCGTTTGGAGGCATCCATATTGTCTGCGTTCCAAGAGCAAACCCGCACTTGCCTTGCTTGACTGCTGTGTATGAACCCAATATGTATTAGAAGGAACTGAACCCAGGGTGAAATTCTCAGAAGGGCAGCAGATTCCAGCATGCCTGCACGATAGGGCGGCTACTACTGTACAACATTCCGCACTCACAGCAGCAACCGAGTCAACAGCTCAGCAGATCCATGGCCACGGCAGCCACCACCAGGGGAGATGAATGCATGTTGTGCTGCTGGATTGTACCGCCTGTAGAAGAAGGGAACGGACGTGGATAGAACGAAAGAATAACGACCAACCACGGTGCAACTACAACCTCCTCCCCTCTTCTGCGCGCATTTTCGTCATGTACTATAATGTAGCAGAAAGCTGCAGTCGACAGGAGGGTGGTGTTTGTGTTCTTACGACGTGCGCTACTGCATATGTCGGCCATGTCGATTGCTACATACAGCAGTTATACAAACAAGCTCCTCGTGGTGTCCAAACGTCGGCGCGGACGTTTTATTTCTGACAGCCCAAGGTTTCATGCGGAAAGACTTGCGGCATTTCCTTTCACGGTGGACCGTCCGACGAACCCGGGTCGATCGTTCGGCCTTTGTTCCGAAAGCATCACGTTCGTTTTTCCATGTGTTTCCATCGATCCCCAACCGGCCCCCCCTCCCCGCCTCCTCGCAGGCGTGTACCTCACCGCTCTCCTGACGGAGTGGTTCCAATCCGCGTTCCTGTTCGTCTACCTCCGCGAGATGCACCCGGAGCAGTTCGTCGTCAGGATGTACCTCGCCGGCGCGGCCTCTCAGCTGTCGCTCTCGGTCCTGCTCGAGGTCATGGGCGGCTTCGTGCCGCACAAGCTGCGGTGCGCGGCCTGCCTGGCGCTGCAGGCCGGCTCCGCCGTGCTGATGCTGCACCCGGCGTTCGGCGGGCTGGTGACGAGCCGGGTGCTCGGCGGGTTCGCCGCGGCGCTCCTTCACTCTTCGTTCGAGGCGTGGATGGTGGAGCAGGTGGGGACAGAAGGGCGTGCGTGGCGATGACGGGAGTGTACCAACATCGCTTGCAAGGGCACCGCAAAATTAAAATTGATTTTGGGTGTTTCTCTACTAACTGTAGTGGATGTTGCTGTTTTTCAGGCTTGAAACGTGAAGATCCCCCGGGGTCGCGTTTGAACCGACGACCACCTTTGGCGCGGAAAAGAAAAGCTGTTCTGGCGGTTACTCACGGCACGTTGTTTTGGCGGCATTTGCAAGGAACCACGGCGTTAAGTTCACCAATATGAGGAAACGCAGGCACGGCAGTAAGTAGTGCACGAGCGCCCGACCCGTAGTCTTCCATTGCAGCAACCACATTGCGCGTTCCCTCACCCCCCCCCCCCCCCCCCCCGGGCCCCCCCCCCCCCC